CGGGCTCTTCGATCCCTGCAATGCTGCCTCTGGGATGAAGTGCTGAGCTGAGAACCCAATGGCATCGACCACATGGCCTATTTATACCCCCTTCCTGGCCTCTTCTGGTATGCAGCAGGTCACCTGGTCCTCAGCCTCTCTCTGCTGGCTGCTCTTAGGTGTCCGCCCTCATGCTTTAGGTGTGTCCTTGGCCATTGAGTGCCATTGTCCCACAGGGCCTCGCTAATTAGCATGTCCACAGGCCCGGGTTCTGCCCAATGCTCAGCCACATGCAGAGTATTCAGTATCCACACAGACTACAGATTCCTAACTACACACACAGACATTATACAACCACATAAATAGCTTACATAGGATTATCAGATAATAAGCTTCTATTCAGCACCCCACATGGTCCCCTTTTATACCATTGTTGGGGCCAACACCCCCCTATGGGTACAGCCATGATCTGGCTGCTTCCCTCAAATTCCAGTAACATGACACTGGGATACTGTCACTAACGTCAGTGGAGTGACCGGGTCTAGTGGAACGAGGTGTACCGGTAGTTCGGAATAGGAAGCCTAATCCGAACTATCTAGTTCGTGCCGCGTGTAGCCACGAGCACGGAGTCCGAACTAGCGGACATTTAAAAATGGCGGCGCCCGGCAATATGCAAATGAAGCCCGGGAAATTCAAATCCCAGGCTTCATTTGCAACTCCGGTTGCCTACATTAACCACCCTAGTTCGAACTAGGGTGGTAGTGTAGACATACCCGTAGAGAGCAACACACTGTGATATACTAGGTGGGGTCACCCAGGTACCAGCGGCAGGCCCTTCATCAAACCCACCCATCGGCCATCCTTCCAGGACCTGGACTAGAACCTGCCAAGGCAGAGTCCTCTCTGGGGAGTTACAGAGCAGTTAATGACGTACAGGGGCATGCCAATGGCTGGCAGCCAGATGCTGCATCACCCCCTCGGAACAGCCCTGTAGGCCAGGCAAGGTGTCCGGAGAAGGGCAGGTGGAAATATGGACACAGCAACCACCTAGAAACCACCCAGCCGGGGTTCCAGCTCGGTGGGCAATCCTCCTGCTGGTTCTTAGCTGGGGGCCAGAGTTTCAGCAGGTGAACAGGAATCAGGCCTCACCGCACCCAGCTTCCCCCTGCTCTCAGAAACAGAACTTGGTTTTCAGCCTTATCCCTCCAGCTTCCAGCTGTCACCGTCTGGGGCTGGATTATTTTAACTGGGCATTGAGCTAGCCGGAAACATGGACCCATAGAATCCTGGAAGTAGAAGGGCCAGTCCCCTGGCCTCTCGGCAGGACCAAGCACTGTCTAGACCATCCCTGCATGTGTCTGTCCAACCTGCTCTTCAATGTCTCCAAAGATGGAGATTTCACAACCCCCCTGACAATTTATTCTAATGTTTAACCCCCTGGACAGGCAGGAAGTTTTTTGTGTCCAACCTAAACCTCCCTGGCTGCAGTTTAAGCCCATTGCTTCTTGTCCTGTCCTCAGAGGCCAAGGAGAACAAGTTTTCTCCTTCTTCCTTGTAACACCTTTTCAGATACTTGAAAGCTGCTCTCATGTCCCCCCTTAGTCTTCTCTTTTCCAGTCTAAACAAACCCAGTTCTTTCAGTCTTCCCTCCTAGCTCATGTTCTCTAGACCTTTCATCATTTGTGTTGCTGGGACCCTCATCTCCCCAGGTCAGGGGCCCGTCCTGCGCAAGCCTCAGAGCGGCAGCCCAAAGCATTCACAGATGCAAAGGCCCAGACACTGTTGTTAACATGTCACATTTTAGTTCCTTGAACCCTGAATCTTCATTAACAGGCCCAACCAAATCGTTTCATTGCATATTTTATTTGTTTTTTTAATCCAAAGTTGATATTGATTTAACTTAAATGCAAATAATTTAAATACAATAAGGTGTTGTTGCTGTCAAAAAGTAAACATCACCAATAATATATAAAATACACGTGGCCTCCGACGGCTTCTGAGGCAGTCGCCATCGGGGCTTGTCAGTTTTGTTTCACATGCTTGATGAGCTCCTGGACCCAGGTTGCGGTGGGGTTCGAACAGACTTCCCGGCCTTTTTTAGTGGTAAAGCTGCAGAGATAAAAGCTCAGTTCAGCATCGCCACAGGGAGCAGACGGAAAATCGACCCCCTGGGACACCGGAGTGGGAGAGGGCGTGGTGAGGACCAGGGGGGTTCTGCGCTGTACAACAACTGCGGTCTGTGAGCCAATCAGAGCTCTTCTTTTCTGAAGGTGAAACTTTTTCTGAACGCTACTGGGGAGAAGCTGATCTGTGATTCGCTGTAGCACATTTCAGGCCTATCCTCTAAGCCAATCAGAATGCAGCAGGCCAACCATGTTACAACAAGCACCTGTCACTCCGCAGTAGCTCCACCCCCTCAGACCCAGGACTGAACCTGCCTCAGACCTTGCAGTCAGATCTTGGGGACAAAGTCCCACAGTCCCTGGATTAGCATCTCCAGTGTCGATACCCCTGGGCCTATGGTCCCTGCATGAAAGTGACAGTGCTGACGGGTCCCATCCAGCAGCCCACCCCCACAGTTCTACGTTCTACCTAGGAGACACCCTCCTCACTCTGGTCCCATCAGCCACTCCCCGGCCCCGGGCAGCTCCCTTCTGCCGAACCATGTCTCCACGTGGCCATGCAGCCAGCACCAGTGGTCACCATCCTCTAAAGCAGAGCACGTCCTTAACCTGGCTGGCCTGAGGGGAACAACCCTCTTTCCTCCTCCGTTCTCCTCCCCTCCCTTGTGAAGCTCCCCGGTGGGGACGCCAGGTGGCACGGTCAGGGTAGGTCCCCAGCAGGGCAGCCCAGCTGTGACTCTGCCCCGGCTTTCTTGCTGTCTTGGGAGGCCCTGCTTCCTGCTCAGAGTCGGCTGTGCACCACGGCCTCTGCTGAGCTGCTGGCTCGGCCAGCCCTCGGTGCAACATCCCTGAGCAAGTGCTCAGGCATGAACCTTTGTCCCTGCCCTCTGGAGCAACCGCTGGAGGCCTCTAAACGAACGGCAGCCCAGGCTGCGGGGGAATGTGCAGGAGTCTGGGATCATTGTCTCTGGCAGGCTTGTGCTAAGGGGTTTCCAAGAGCCCTGCATTCCCTCCATCCAGTCACCCTTCTGGGCTGGCTCTCTGCATGAACAGAGGGTCCAGCTGATACTCATACTCACATCACTGCCGGCATGGAGCACTTGCTACTGGTGTGCCGATACTTCACCACCAGGGCCCGCGGGATAGGCTTGGCCACGTAGTTGAAGCAGCAGGAGGTTGGGGTGTTGACACCGTCTGGAAGGAAAGAAGGGACGTGAGTGGCCTTTCTCGCTGGCCTCTCCCGCAGGGTTTGCTACCTCTCAGCTCCACCCTGCCCTGCCCCGGCTCTGGGGCAGCTCAGAGCACAGGGGTTCTCCAGCAAGAGCAAGAGAAGTGTAGGGCTGTTTCCTGGGCTCCCTCCCAGCCAGGCCGGGTCGCTCCAAGCCACAGTGTCTGAACGGGGTGTGCGTCGGTCTCCACCGCCCAACACAAAACCCAGGGAAAGTGAGAGCTGGGAGTGCAGCAGGAAAAGAGAAGAGAAACGGGACGTACCAAGCTGGCAGTATGCCTGGGAGCAGAGGGCAGCGATGAAGAGAACAGCAAAGGCAGCCACACAAGCCTTCATGTTTCTGCCGGGAGGGGATGCGCGCAGCAGCAGGACGAGAGCTGGAAGGCTTGCAAGTGCTCCTCGGTGGATACTGAGCCCCCGGGCATCGCGCTGTCTTTATACAGGAGCGTTGCAGGGAAGCGGATGTGCTGTACCAAGCAGATGATGACATGGAGACCCACATTTTGCTGAGTTGAGAAATCAAAGAGGAAGTTGAAATCTAGAATGACTCTCAAATTCCATTGCGGTGCTTAGCAGGTCAGCAAACCTCCTGGGAAGGTTCCAACCCTCTCCTCCAAAGAGCTTCCCACTCCTCTTGACTTGGTCTCATTGCAAATGTTAGAAAGCATCCTTCCCCTTCATTAGCCAGGTCACTTATGAAGCTGTCAAATGGCAGGGCTATCAGCAGGACTGGAAATGTTTCGGTTTCTCTGAAGATTTCCAAGTTTTGATTAAAATCCCAAATCTCTGAATTTGTTGGCAAGGGGGAGAAGGAACAAAAGCCATTTCCCCAAATGGAGCAGCTCACTCAGCTGTCAGACACTTCCCAGAGCTCTAAAAGGGGAGGGGAGGGCGCCGCCCTGCAGGGCAGCAGAGATCACAAAACACTGAGCACAGCCAGCAGGGCAGGCCTGGTGGGACACTGACAGAAGCCAGCTCTCTTGACACAACAAACAGCAGAGTCCACACTGCTCTTTGTTTACAATAAAGGGAGGGGAAAAGACAAAAGTTGCTTGTAAGGGTGGAAGATTTTTGTTGGCAAACCTGGGTGTTTTCCCCAACAAGTCTCATTGCAGTGTGAAGGCTTCTGTTGTTTGGGTGCCAAAATGCAGTTTTTGGTGGGTGTGATTGTACAGTCCCTAGCATAATGGGTTCTGGGCCTGGACGCCCAGCCCGTTTATCAATACAAATAATAATGAACACTAATGGGTTCTTTCCATTGTCCTCACCCCCAGTAACAAAGGTCCCATCACCAGCTCTGGCCTTGTGGCACACGACTGCTTTCAGTCCAGACGGCGGAGGGGTAACCTGCTCTGGGGCCAGGCCGGTCCCTCTCACCGCTGCGCTGGCTTGCAGGGGTTAGCAAGAAGGGGTTAAGTCACGAATCTTTGTAAAACTCCTGGTCAGAGAGCAATACGGCGCGTGAAGCACCTCCACCAGGCCCGAAAAGGCCTCATATTCCAAGCCATTTGCTTCAGGCGGGCGGGTGGCATCACTGAGACAGGCTGTGTGTGATGGAGGCTGAGTTCTGAGCTGGGAAATGCCTGTGCTAATAAAATGACACCGGCTGCAGGACTGGGGGGGGGTACAGAGCTGGTTCCTCAGCTGAGCTTTACATGCGGCTGAATTTGATCGTAAGAACGGCCGGACGGGGTCAGCCCAAAGGTCCATCCTGCCCAGTGTCCTGTCTGCCCACAGTGGCCATTGCCAGATGCCCCAGAGGGAGGGAACACAACAGGTAACCCTCGCGTGATCCCTCCTCTGTCACCCACCTCCAGAGAAACAGAGGCAAGGGACACTATCCCTACCCAGCCTGGCTAAGAGCCATTGATGGACCTAACCTCCATGAATCTATCTAGCTCTTTTTTGAACCCTGTTAAAGTCCTGGCCTTCACCGCATCCTCTGGCAAGGAGTTCCACAGGTTGACTGTGTTCTGAGTGAAGATAAACTTCCTTTTGTTTGTTTTAAACCTCCTGCCTATTAATTTCATTTGGTGACCTCTGGTTCTTATATTGTGGGACTATGTAAATAACTTTTCCTTATTCACTTTCTCCACACCAGTCATGATTTTCTAGACCTCTCTCCTATCCCTCCTCAGTCTCCTCTTTTCTAAGCAGTAAAGTCCAAGTCTTCTTAATCTCTCTTCACATGGGACCTGTTCCAAACCCCTCACCATTTGTGTTGCCCTTTTCTGATGCTGCTGGAGTCAGATAGCTGAGATTGGCCTTAGAATCAGTGAATTCTTGGAAGGCTAAAACCATCGCTGAGTTGCTGAGCGGTTTCTCCTGACCTCACAACTTCCTCTGTGTGCAGCCAAACAGGCCCGGGAATCGCAGGCCAGACACGGGCTCTCGGCTCAGCAAAGCTCCCCAGCTTTCCCAATACCTCTCCTGTGCTCGTGGCCTGTCAGCGCTGCTGCCCAGTGTCCTGTCTGCCCACAGTGGCCATTGCCAGATGCCCCAGAGGGAGGGAACACAACAGGTAACCCTCGCGTGATCCCTCCTCTGTCACCCACCTCCAGAGAAACAGAGGCAAGGGACACTATCCCTACCCAGCCTGGCTAAGAGCCATTGATGGACCTAACCTCCATGAATCTATCTAGCTCTTTTTTGAACCCTGTTAAAGTCCTGGCCTTCACCGCATCCTCTGGCAAGGAGTTCCACAGGTTGACTGTGTTCTGAGTGAAGATAAACTTCCTTTTGTTTGTTTTAAACCTCCTGCCTATTAATTTCATTTGGTGACCTCTGGTTCTTATATTGTGGGACTATGTAAATAACTTTTCCTTATTCACTTTCTCCACACCAGTCATGATTTTCTAGACCTCTCTCCTATCCCTCCTCAGTCTCCTCTTTTCTAAGCAGTAAAGTCCAAGTCTTCTTAATCTCTCTTCACATGGGACCTGTTCCAAACCCCTCACCATTTGTGTTGCCCTTTTCTGATGCTGCTGGAGTCAGATAGCTGAGATTGGCCTTAGAATCAGTGAATTCTTGGAAGGCTAAAACCATCGCTGAGTTGCTGAGCGGTTTCTCCTGACCTCACAACTTCCTCTGTGTGCAGCCAAACAGGCCCGGGAATCGCAGGCCAGACACGGGCTCTCGGCTCAGCAAAGCTCCCCAGCTTTCCCAATACCTCTCCTGTGCTCGTGGCCTGTCAGCGCTGCAGGCAGGGGGCCGGTGCCCTGAGCTGCCGCCGC